TGATTTATTAACAACCGATTATTAACCAAGGGTAGGTTATGGAGTGGGGCGATCCTCGATCCGAGTAAGAAAGGAAGAAACTGCTGCCAACGCCTTCTTTCTCTTGTCATTTATACACTTTATTTGAGAGATTATGTAGCTCTTTTATTCGACATCGTTGAATACCCTACATACCTACACAGTATTCTAAACCGAGAAGGTGTGCTAGATATAACTCATCGTCATCAGCGATAAGCAACGGCAGCGAAATCCTGAAAATTAGGGATAAGCCCATATTTGATACTATATCATTAACTATAAAAAGTACAAATAACTGTACACCTTGGCATATCTTTATTAAGTCAATTAACTCTTGAAAAATTCGCTCAGAATATGTGTCTTAGAATACGACTTAGCAGATTTAAGGTTGTAAAAGAACGTTTCTATAAAATTGTAAAACATATTAGATTCCAAAGGATCACTTAAATTGAAAACGTACATGATTTTAATAACTATGTCTACTGCCCTCATAAAATTGAAAAATTTATAACGTACGTCATCAAAATATACATAAATTTCTTTGATGTCCGCTGAGTTTCCAACACAATAAACAAATGGATGGATATGATCCTTCTTCCCTTTTAAGAAAGTGATAAAATCTTCTATTTCTTGAGTCGTCTTTCCGACAAACAAGAAAGAGTCTTGGGAGTCTCTGATGGTGAACCTTGGTGGTTTTACTTTTGGAACCATCCTTTTTAGATTTCTCGGATACATTTGTAGGGACAAAGTATCCGTGCAACGCCCATAAAATAATAGCACTTCGAGAATCTAGTTGACGCATTATTACAATAGTCTAGGAGGATATATATTATATTATATACAGTGAATTTTTCTTAAATGCGAACATAGGAGTTTGCAAGCAATGTAATTTCCCTATGTTCGATTTTTAAAAAAAACACATCAATCTATTGAGTAGTTCAAATGAGTAATAGATACAATTGACAGCTGTCATATTTTTAAAAATACAGCCGTCCAATTTAATTACGAAATCGGTTAGGTTATTGCTTATAATGTCAAGGAGGACACTTCGAACATTTATTGTAATTGTTTTCGGTATTTATTTTCTTATTTTCTTCATTTATGTATTGAATAGATCAAATTAGTAGAGTACCAGGTGACCTACAAAATAATTGAAGGTTGGTTCACAATAAGTTGTGGTGTCAGTGCGTGGAAGAAAAATGTATCCTAAAGTTGCTATGGGCTCACATGGCTTCTTTAAAAAAATCTTACCGAGTGCTCTTCATCATAAAGACTATAGAGTTGCTGTTCATAGTCACACAAGTTGCGCGATTTGGGAATGTGAACCGCGCACATCTCATAGATTGATGTGTTTTTTTTTTAATCGAACATAGGGAAATTACATTGCATGCAAACTCCTATGTTCGCATTTAAAAAAAACTCACTGTATATGAATAATGATTTCTTATCAAGTTGCTTATTCGAGTCTAAAATGTGGAGTTCCTTTTGCAAACAATGTTGTTGACATAGTTTTATTAATTTTAACAAAGCAATTTTTAATTCTTCTACAGTCAGACAAGACTGCATTCTTTTTGTTTTTACTGCTCGGGTTTTCATTCTCAACATATAGGCGAATACCCTTTGCAAACGAATTAATTTAGAAAATCTTCCCACCAAATCATTGAATGTGTCATCCGTTTGATTGAATAACAGAACTGTACTTGAAGATTTCAATTTTGGATCATGTTCTGCATACTTAGGACTTAGGAAAACCTAACCGGACTTTGGTCAGATGCTGTACCGGAACCGGAAACGGGAAGTGGCCCAAATTTGAGATTGACCGGAATGCGAAAACTTGGACTTAAACGACTTAAAACGATAAAGAGGCCAGATCTATTGTATAATTTCTATTATATTTGTAACATTACAGATAACAGTATAAAACGGATAATGCTAAAATTTCACCTTCAAACGGTCCCAGTCTTTTTGAAACTTTCATTAAAGCACTACCAATTTCCCAACATTCCTACCAAAACCTTAAAACCAACCTTTTTTAGAATTTCTTTTTATTTTACATTTTTGTATACATTTTCTTTTGACATTTTGGAACACATTTTTATTTTACATTATTACATAACTACTTTTTTTTACATTTTATTACACAAGTTTTTTTTTTACATTTTATAGAACATTTTTTTTTTCCTCAACCACCACCTTATTACATCACCATGGCCACTCCTGTAAACTCCAGTTAAACTGTTTTAAAATAAGTACAATGAATTCTAATTCTTTTTAATTTTAGAGCCTTTTCTTCCGTCCCATCAGGCTACACGAGCTAAAGGCCGCTTTAATGAATTGCAATAGAAGGGAGGACGTTAAAATCGAAGACGTCTGCAAAGTTTTTTACAGTGGGCCAGTTTCGAAGGCAATCAGGGAAGATCTCAGCAATTTTATTCCGATTAATTTTGACGACATACAGAACAAATCGGTGGTTGCCATGTCCCCGGTCGCTGCCCTTGGTTTCTTTTTAAACAGCGATGTCCTTAAGGGTGTGAGAAACAAAAGCAACCGAGCGAGATACACAGACGCCAAATTGAAACAAATTATGTCGGCAATATTTCAAATTGAGAACCCCTTGCCTGAGACGCTCGCCATTTTACGGACCCTTATTCAAAAAGCGCAAGTCGCCCAATTTGTAGACCCTGATGGGACAGAAGAAGAGGCGCACGACATGTTGGGTCGAGCGTTAAGGCTTTTCCCCCCATTCTGGCATGAGATTAAGGCAAAGGTGTACCAAAAAAAACAGAAGACCTAACGGGGGAGAAAGCCTATGAGGAGGCAGTTGTCCAACGACTCCACATCCACCGATGTGTCGTCTGGTGAGGTGGAGCCAGTCGCAGTTGAAGATGTCGCCGCCCGTCCTGCCGTAGTAACCGAAGTGGACGTTGATGCAAACATCAACACAGCGGTGGAGCCGGACACATCAGTACAGGCAGATATACTGGTTCATCGCAGTGGAGATGGAAATGCACCACGTCCACGGTTCCGGAAGAAGCAGGCGTTGGCGACATCGGAAGCTGTTTCTGGCCCATCACACCGTCGAGACGACCAGGCTGGCTGGGACGCCATCCTGCCAGCACCCCCATCTCCTCCTCGAGCCCGACCACGACGTGACGACCACCAGGCTGGGTGGGACACCATCCTGCCAGCACCCTCATCTCCTCCTCGATCTCCACCTCAACCACCCCGACGTGACGACAACCAGGCTGGCTGGGACGACATCCTCCCAGCACCCCCATCTCCTCCTAGACCTCAACAACCCCGTCCACTGTCTCCTGCTCCTGTATCTCCGGATCCCGAACCAATTCCTCCGCCCCAAACCGTCGTCGGAGATATGGTTTGGGGAAAGATCCGGTTCCGGGGGTACTGGATTGGTCGTGTGGTGGCTGTGGAGCAAGTGACCCGCGGCCTCAACTATGTGGTCGACTTTGTAGATTGGGGGACCTACAAAGTCAAGGGCAAATTTATACAAAAATATGAACCCCAGATGGCCATACCCCCATACGTAAAGCCTGGCCGAAAACAAAGGGTCAGGCTTCAAGAAATTATAGATTCCTTAAAATAACTAAATTTTTTTTTTCATAAACAGGAGCACTAACCAAAAAATTTCCTTTTAACAAATAATGTTCTGGTTTTTGACAGGTTGTCATTGCATTATTGATTGTACCGCTAGTGCACTCTGTTGGACTTCTTTTCGTTCGATCGCGGGAGATCTAAAAAATTGGGTTATACCTTTTTTTCGATACAGCCCAAACCGTTCGTTTTTGGAAAAAAACACCTCGTGCACTTTTTATCGGGACGGCCCGACAAGTAACGTGGAATTTTTCTCCGAAAAATTAGTCACACTGAAATGAACACCTTGGGGCAACAAGGTAACAAGCCACCATTTCGTAAAAAGTGACCTTTTGTGTTTAAATGCATTTATACAATGGCATCTGCAATATATATAATAGTAGTGACGATTGCTTAAGCGGTGGCGACACTAGTCGTTAGTAACCTTATTTCCCTAACACAATTTTGTAGGGAACAAGGGGACATGCCACAAATGTTTATAATATGGCGGACGACAAAGTACGTGCGTGTAAGCGAAAATTAGAGATTTGTTGTGGAAATAGTCCCGGTAGTGATCAGGAACCCTATTCAGATGATAGTGTAGTGAACCCGAATTATGTGGAAAGTGGCGAAGAGGCCGAAAGCCAATCAACGGATTCTAAGGAGGTAAATAAAAAACTTTTGCGGCTTAACCGCTTATTGCTTGAATCGCAGTGGCTTATTATTTAATACACAGCGCCTGTCATTTTTTCAGTATGAAGCCTAAGGGTGCTTTCACACACACCGGCAAAACCGGAGCCGGTTCCGGTTCCGGCGCCGGATGCAATGTAATTAAATTTGGGCTTGCACATACAGTCCGATCCGGCGTAATGCCGTCCCGGCTGTTTGTGTCGCCGGACCAGAACTCGATAAATCGGTGGCCGGGGCGGGAAGCAGCTTGTCGGTTTCAAGGTTAAGTTATGGAATCATGCACACGCAGCTGAGAAAACCGGTGTCGGGATAGTGTTTGCTCATATTTTTATTTTAGAATAGAATGCAGTATGCAGCCGGAGGGGTGACGTGACGAACTGTTGTAAACTTGTGCTTGGTGTTATTAAACAATATTTTATTTGTATACGCTGTTTTTTGCTCTTCATTTTAAAATGAGCAGTCAGGCCTTTAAATTTGACATTGTAACGCTAATCGAAGCAGTCGAAAACAGGCCTTGCCTGTGGGATAAAACTACGGATTTCTATAAAGACAAACTAGAAAAGCAGAAGGCATGGAGAGAAATTTTCGCTTTTTTAGAAGATGGTTATTCTGACATGGACAAAAAAGAACAACAAAAAGTGGGTAAGTTGTATATTTAATAACATTGCATATACCTACAGATACACTAGCATGATTATTGCCTAGATTTTCGCATTTTGCCATGGTAATGCTCCCTCGGCGCTGACAAAATACTCAGTGAATCGATCTCGTATATCATTAGCATTTCTTGTTGATCGGCAACATGGGGCTGTGTTGATGTCATGTAAACGTTGCACGAAATCCGTATCTGCAGATCGGTACCCATCTTTACTTCGGACCAAATTATGTAAAACCACACACGCTTTTACGATATCTTTCGCAAAGTCTTTTGATACGTTTAGTGCCTTGTGAAAGATTCTCCATTTATTAGCGAAGATCCCAAAAGCACATTCCACGTATCGTCGTGCCCTACTCAAGCGGTAATTAAATACCCGTTTATTCTCGGGGAGATAATGTCCTGCATATGGTCGCATCATGTTTTCCGAGAGAGAGAACGCTTCGTCGCCCACAAATACAAACGGAAAAGTAAGGTTAGAATGTGTGTTTAACGGACCTGAAGCTGGAATGTTTAATTTATTTTGCATTAGCAGCTTAAAAAATGACGTCTCCTGGAAAACAGATGAATCGCAATCTTTGCCATAAGCGCCAATATCAACATATGTAAATTTATAGTCGCAATCAGCAATTGCCATGAGCACTATGGAAAAATAACTCTTGTAGTTGAGGTTCATTGAACCACTGTGGGGAAATTTGTTGACTCTTATATGTTTCCCGTCAACAGCTCCCAGGCAATTGGGAAAATGTGAAAATGTCGCAAATTGATCTGATATTGCCCTCCAGTTCTCTTCTGTAGATTTCGGAAAGACATCATGTTTTAGCGTGTCCCATAAAGCATTACATACCAATCGTACAATCTTTCTTACTGTACTTATTCCCAGTCTGTAGTTGTAATGCATTTCAGTAAATGTTGCCCCCGTTGCCAGGTATCTGAAAAACGATTGTATTGTAAGATATTACGTTTACTTTCAGGGAATATGGTTACTACAAAATGGCAAAATATTAGGGATGCTTTTATAAAATCACTAAAGAAAAAGTCTGGTGATGCTGCGAAGAAAAAGTATATTTATCATGACAGTTTGCTATTTTTGACAAAAATCATTGAAAAAGACAATACTATAGGAACTATGGACGACTCGCAGTTGTCAAATAATAGTGGTGACGAAGAACAAACAGAGCCGGAGGTACACGTACCTGTAGACTCTCAACGTGAAGTTGCAAAAACCAAGGAAGGTAATAATTCTCGCCGGAAACGGGTACGAGCACAAGAGGAAATTGACCGGGAAATTTTGAAAGCTATCAGTACTAACACCTCTCCTGACGAAGATGAAGCATTTTTTTTGTCACTTCTACCAAGCGTTCGAAGATTATCTGAAGATGACAAATGCGAATTTCGGATGGGCGTTCTCCAATTAATACAAGGTCTGAGAAACAAAAATAAAAACCCCCGTTTCCCTACGTTTACTTCATCTACTAGTTCATCGGCAACTCGAGCTTCAACACCATTGTCTCCTCTTCGTCTGGACACAGCACCTGCTTTTATACCTATCAATCAGCGAGGATACTTATCTCCATCAGACCAGTTTTCGTACAGCGATCATAATAACGGTATGTCAGAAGGATGTTCAAATAACTCTTACTATCAAAACCTTTGAAATACCAGTTTGTAAAACCGTCATTACTTATTACTTTACTTGTGATTATTACTAGTTACCATTTTTGGAATAATAAAGTACCTCTACAAATTGAACACTTTTCTACTTACCTTATTGTCACGGCTAACATTTCCTTTGGTGGTATGGACACTCTCATTGGAGTATCTTGGCCTTTAATAAGGTCTCCTATCTGCCCCTCCAGGAAATCAAAGGTGCTGGTGGACATTCGAAAATAATTGAAAAACTTGGCATCATCGCATCTCAGCTTCTCAAATAGCGTGTAGAAATTTCCTTCCAGATACCTCACAGCTAAAATGGGATGAACCCAGTACTGGCGTTCTCGTTTCCTATATTTTCGCCTAAGATGTAGTAATATCAGTAAATTGCGGCGCCTATGTCTTTCACTAATCATAATGGCAATGCTTCTCGCGCGTCGTTCAGAATCAAACTAAAATGGTGCCTGCCCGAGCGTTGACCGAACCTTCTTCGTTTTACCGGGTGCCGGATCCGGTGACGGCAAATGCCGGTATGTGTGCATATTCCTTCCGGTCCGGCGCCGGAACCGGCTCCGGTTTTGCCGGTGTGTGTGAAAGCACCCTTATTGGCATTAAAATATCATATTATAGGTTACTAGGATCCTAACCTTAAGATATACGATCATAACAACCTCTGGATTATGCCTAATGAACGCTACATTAAGCACTAATGTGGCTTGTACCCTTGTTACACAAAATATATAGATATGTAATTATTTTTAGAATGACGACCCTGCCAACCACAGTGAACTCGCAAATACTTCAATGTCCTCTAGAGGAGCTCTACCAACACCAGAAAAAGCTCAATCTTCACGGTGGAGATCGAAGAATTTACCGAGGCGACTGAAATGTAAACGAAAAATAAAAAGAAATTTGGGTCACAGTTACACCAATAAAACCGGACAAGATATCCTTGCAAGAAACATTGGACCACCATGTAAATGCAAAAAGAAATGTCGAGAACGTTTGAACGGATCCGAAATCAACATTTTTTCTACTTTTTGGGACTTGGGTGATTACCACAAGCAAAATATTTATTTATGCTCCAATATGAAAATATCAAATAAGAAGAGATGCTATCCAAAAAAAAACGAAAAATCAAGAGAGTTCTCGTAGATTTTCGGTAAAATATTCCGTTAAAGTCGAAGGTTCTGAAGTTGAAATCTGTAAACAAGAATTTCTCGCAATCCACGGGTTACAAAATTCTAAAAAAAGAATACAGCTTCTTTATGGACACCTAGCTGATGGAAACGTTACTGCAAAACCTGATCAACGTGGAAAACATAATAATCGTGTGAATAAGATTAGTGAAGAGTGTCATCAGAACGTAAAAAGACACATTGAGTCCATACCTAAATATACGAGTCACTATAGTCGACAGAAAAATCCAAATAAGGTATACATTGACCACGATTTGAGTATTTCTGCTCTTTACAAAGACTATTATTTAGATTGGTGTAAAGAGCAAGGCCATGTGACTGTGAAAGAGGATAAGTATAGACGTATATTCTGTACGGAGTACAACATAGGATTCAAGTTGCCCAAATCGGATACTTGTCATACTTGCGATTCTATCAATATTAAGATACAACACAATGAGAAGTTTCCTGAAAAATTGAAAGAACTTCGGACCAAACTAGATTTACATCAAAGACGAGCTGAGGCCATGCAACAAAGACTCAAAGATGACACTGCAAATGCCAAACTTACCGGAGATACAGTCATTATAAGTTTTGACCTACAGCAAGCCTTGCCAGTACCAAACTTGACAGTTGGACCAGCTTTTTACTTGCGCAAAGCTTGGGTCTATAATCTGGGCATACACGACTGTGTGAATGGCCAGGGTTTTATGTATATGTGGCCGGAAAATGTTGCAAAGCGTGGGAGCGATGAAATTGCCAGTATACTGTACAAACATTTTCAATGCCACAAGCCTGCCATAGCCAAAAAACTTATAGTTTTCACGGACAACTGCAGTGGCCAAAATAAGAACTGGTCTATGATGTGCTTATGGCAACAGTTAGTGAGGGAGGGGACATTCGAAAGCGTAGAACATCAATTTTTGGTCGTTGGACACACCCATCTTCCTAGTGATCGCGATTTTGCAATAATTGAAAAGTACAAACGTCGCTACTTAAAAGAGGTTTATACTCCCGAGCAGTGGTACAAGGCTGTAGAAAAAAGCAAACGAACAAACCCTTTTCAAGTAACTGCACTAACACAAGACGATATATTTTCTTTTAAAAATATTCAGACACAAATTGTTAAAAAATCTATGACAGACGACAAACAAAAACTGAACTTCAATACTATCCGTTGCTTCAAATTTACTTCTGAAAATCCCAACATAATGTACATAAAACATCTTCTAAATGAAGAATATAAAGCAGTTAATATTGGTAAAAAAGGATTAAGAAGATCAATATTTCTTTCAAGAGATTTAAAGAAAAAGTATTCTGCTCCGATTGCCTTAAACCCAAAAAAAATTCAAAATCTTTCTAAACTCATTGAATACATACCACCTACCTACCTTCAGTTTTATATAGACGTAGGAGCTCTCAACGAAAGTATGGAAGAAGACCATTCCCAAGAACAGAATATAGAACATTTCGAAGAGATCAGCGATGTAGAAGATTTCGAAGAGATCAGCGATGTAGAAGACGTCGATGACGCAGGTGACGGCAGCGACCAAGATCATTAAAAATTTAAAATTTCATTGAAAAGGTTTATGAGGATTAAGGTTACAAGCCACTTTTTTTTAAATTTTTTGAAAATTTGTAATGTAAACCTTAATAAAAAAACTTTCAACGTTACACATATTTTAATACTTCTGTTTCAAATCAAGTTCCTTACGAAATCGTTCTAATAATGTAACAACCCCGATTTCAGGATTTGAACACAAGGTTTAATTGCAATTTTCTCACAATTATATGTTTGTGGCTTAGCACCTTCTTGCCCCAAGGTCTTCAAATGGCTACGGGGCTCGGTCCATAGGCAACACTAGCGACAAAATTGTGTAGTTTAAGTTGCATATCAAACCTAATTCTTCAACCCTTATTTATAAGGGTTCTAGATCATTTCACAACTTCCCCAAGTAACGGCATCATCCTAGGCCCGTATTCTTTAAAATCTGAAAGTTTCAATTGTGACAGTTAAGCCGTTGCGAAGCTGAAAAACGTAAGCAAATTTTTCAGGCTTATTTCGGTCCGTGGACTGAATATAATATATATATATATATATATATATATATATGAGAGCTGGACATGCTGCTAGCACGTATTATAAAATTTTAGTTAATAATCAACCCACCTATTTATACCGCAAATTAAAATACAGAACTGATGTACATACGCTAAATTTGAGAAACAAAGGTTTGCTTACACCTCCCTCGCACGCCACAGCTATGTATGAAAGATCTTTTACCTACAACATCAGCAAATGGTATAATTCCCTAGCTATGGACATCAAAAGCATGCCTTACAAAACATTTAGATTAGCTACCATGTCGAGGTTATTGCACGAACAATCTTCTTCTCAATGATATTTGACAATTTAATTTGAGGTTTTTTTTTTTGCTAGATATATTATTTTTATTTTTATTTTTTCTTCTTTGTATTTTCTGTTAATGAACGGAATCACATGGGTTAGATGGAAGAGCAGAAATGGTATGTACATATGTTTCATTCCATTACTGAATCTCGCCCTTTGTACACACTTCTATGTAATGTAACCTATAGGTACTATTAAAGACATTTATTATTATTATATTATATATATATATAATATTATAATATATATATTATATATATATAATTACATATATATATTTAATATTTAGTAGACGGACCCCATACCCAACGCGGTATGGAAAAATTGGAAATTACTTTAAGATTCTGCAAACGAGATTGCCATTCGTTTTTTAAACTGCCCGGAATTTCTTCGTCCCAATTTAACTGGGATTGCCATAATTTTTGAACATCAGAGTGCCCTATGGGACGTAACAACAGAAGAATATAAAAACAAGCAGATCAGGCAAATGCGTATGCAAAAATTAAAGAGGCAATGGGAATCCCCGGATTTGGACAAAAGCAAATCATACAAAAAATTAAAAATATTTGTTCAACTTATTCTCAGGAAGTTAAGAAAATTAAACTATCCAAGAAATCAGGTGCCGGAACAACCGAACTTTATAAGATTGTTTTCACATATTAAAAACCTTTGGCCATTATTCCCCCGAGGCTATTAGTGTGGATTATGAACTTGCCATCCACAACGCTCGCTCTACGTCACGAATTTCCTGCTACTGACATTAGAGGATGTTTCTTCCACTTAGTCACAAATTTACGAACGCATTTATCCGAAGAGCAACTATTGGGACGATACATAATGCAGATCCGAACTTTGCACTCCTAGCCAGGATGATTACGTCCATTGCATTTGTCCCTCCAAATGACATTATATATGCGGTAAATTCTTTGGAAAATTATTTGCCGATAGACTTAGAACCTATTCTGGGGTGATTCATAAACATGTACGTTGGTAGACTCCGCAACAACGGAACAAGAGCTCCATCTTACATATCCTTTAGCAATTTGGTCACTGGTCAGTGTACCAACGTACTTTAAATGGAGACGATAGAACAAATAACTATGCTCAAGCATGCCATAAAAAATCCAGATGAATTTCGGTCTTACTCATCCACAAATTTGGAAATTTACAGAGGAGTTGAAAAAGACCAAAAGACCTAGATGCCGACTACGAGAGGTATGTAGCAGGACACGGCGCTCCTCGAAAACGTCTGAGATACGAAGAAGCTCATAGTCGCATTTTAAATATTGTAGTAAACTATCAGCCTCAAAATATTATTGAATTTTTACGAGGTTTGTCTCATATACGAATTTAACTAAATATAAGAATGTGGATTTTAACTGTCCTACAAATACAGGGTGCCCATTATGTATGGAATACAGTTTATAAACCTCTCGCTAGGAAAGATGCCGGTTACAAAACATCTGATCCCGGTCTACAATCGTCTACTTCGTTGGAAAATGCGCTAAAAAGCGCGAACAAGTAAAAATCAATTTACTACTTACGTCGACATGCTTGAGGAGCATACCGTATTGAGAAGTGGGAAGCTTACGCCGAACATGTCTCCAAAGGACGTTGAAGTATTATGGGAGCAATTAGCTGCAAAATTAAATGCTGTCGGCGATGGCCCTCAACGTGACATTCATGGGTGGAAAAAGGTATGTTACTATAAATGTACACAAAATGTTGTATAGGCAATAATAAATGTAATCCTTTTACAGGAATTCACAGAATGGAAGAGTATAGTCAGAAAGAAGGCCAGAGGTGGAAAACCAATCAGTGAATTAGAAAATCGCATGCTACGAGCTACAGGGTCTCTGTTTTTTTAGCTAGGAAGACGGATTTAAAAGTTCCCGCAAAAAGTCTTAGTTTCTATTGGCTCGCGCTGCGCTCGTTTTACACCCAGGTAAAATTGCTATTGACATGATTTAAC